TGCAAACGGAGTTCACGCTGGGCCTTTGGGGCGAGGGGTGGGGGATGGTGATGAGGCTGCTAATTAGTGGCTTCCAGGTGTGTGATTGCTGGGCCATGGGGCTGCCCTGCTTAATTGGGCTCCTGAGTTGCTCTCGTGGAAATTGGTGGCCCCAGGAGGTGCTGACAGCCGGGCTGGGACTGGGGGTGACTGCGTGCTCAGGAAACCTGAGGGCGGGGGCGGGGGCTTCAACGTGGGGACCGCCAGCTGCCTGGGGCTCTCTGAATGCCGGTGGTAGAAACCCACCCTCCCAGATGCTAAACCAGGGCTGAGGGCAGCAAACCGCCTAAATGCAGGTTCCCACAGAAATGTGGGGTCCCAACCCCCAGAGACACTGGCAGAGTGCACAGACTTTCTGGGGAGTTTCGAGGCTCAGTGAAGAGGCAGCGTGGCCTTCGGGGGTGGATGAGGGCTGACTGTGTGTCAACCGGCCAGACCACGGGGCCCAGGTTACACGCTGTTCTGGGGGCGGCATGTGAGTGGGCGAGCTCCGTGAAGCACGGGCCTCTCCAGTGCAGGTGGGCCTCACCCAGCTCGATGAGGGCCCGGGGAGGTCAGAAGAGAGACAGGATTTATCCCCTGCCCGTCGGCCTGCGCTGGGACCTCAGTCTTCTCATCCGGGAGCTCACACCCCACTCCCCGGGCCTCTGCACCGACGGTCAGATTGTGGGGCTTCTGAGCTTCCACAATCATAGACTCTCACTCTCGGTTCCACACACACCCCCCTATGGGTTGTTTTTCTGGAGAACCCTGATCAGTGCTGGCTAGTCAGCTCTCTGTGCCTCAGTTTCCTTACCTGTTAAGCAAGGATGATGATGATTTAATTCTTTTTTTTTATCCTCACCCAAGGATATTTTTACATTTATCTTCAGATGAGTGAGAGAGAGAGAGAGAGAGAGAGAGAGAGAAACATAGATGTGAGAGAGACATATTGATCGGTTGCCACCCGCACGACCCCAACTGGGGCTGGGGACGAGCTGCAACCGAGGTACGTGCCCTTGGCTGGAATCGAACCCGGGAGTCTTTGGTCCGCGGGCCGATGCTCTAACCGCTGAACCAAACTGGCCACAGCTGATTTTAATTATTTAATAAACACGTATGCTGTATTTACTGTTGTCCAGAGACCCCTCTAGTCTTCATAAACCTCAGTGAAATCAGTGCGGTGGTGTCCTCACCATGATGGCGGGGAAACCAAGGCACAGAAAGTATAAATAAAATGCCAGGACCATACATATCTGAACCCACGGGGTCTGCCCCAGGCTGGTGAAACTCGCGCTGTGCTGGCCATCCTGCCTGGTGGTCCGAGGTACAGATCCACACCCAGTTATTAGATTGCGTATCTGATATCACAATAACACTGTATCCCATATACAGTAACGATGTATCTGATATGGCAGTATCAATGTATCTATTATCACAGTAACAATGTATCTGCTTTTTTTTTTTTAATCCTCACCCGAGGATATTTTTATATTTATCTTCGGTTAAAGTGAGGGGGGTGGAGAGAGAGACATAGATGTGAGAGAGACGCATCGACTGGTTGCTTCTTGCATGATCCCAACCAGGGCCAGGGACTGAACCGCAACCGAGGTACGTGCCCTTGACCAGAATCGAACCTGAGACTCCTTGGTCCTTGGGCCAATACTCTTAACTGCTGAGCCAGACTGGCCAGGGCTGTATCTGCATTTTCATTCACATCCTCATCATTGTTCCCCTGCCTGCTGGAAGCCCCCCAGGAGCCACGAGAAGTTTGGCCTTGTCCCTGTCGTGTCCAGGCAGACAGGGGCCTGTCTCCTTCACCGACTGTCCCTGAGAGTCTGCAGTCCCCCAGCACCACTCGGAATAAATGATCAAATTATGAATTAAACACAGCAGAATGTAATTACCGTGGGAGCCAGCTGAGAATGCAATGCATTATACATAGAACAGTCAATAAACGGTTATTACATGTGCCTTTCTAATGTGCTGCAGATTAAAATAAATCCAAGTGCAAATTGTTATTGGGAGCATTTGGTCCCCACAGTTCATCTCTGTGCCCCAAGGAGCCAGGACACAGGAAGTGCCTTCAGCCTGGGGCCCTCGCCCACCATCTCAGACTCCAGGTACCGGCCTCCAGCCTCAGACCAGAGAGGGGGTCTCCGGGTCCTGGGACAACCAGATGGTGGCAGTCGAGCACTGTGATGCCCAGAGCCGTCGTTGGAGCTGTGCACAGGGGAACTGACTCATCCTCACCTGCGCAGACACCTGTGTCAAGGTGGATGAACCTCAAACATGATGCTCAGTGAGTACAGCTAGGGTCACCTGGCCACACAGTGTGCGGTTCCATTTATAGGAAACATCCAGAGACAGGAGGTGGACTCCTGGTGGCCGGAGGGTTGGGGTACTGACTGAAATGACAGTTGCGTGATACTGAGAGTTTGCTGAAACCCACTGAACCGTACCCACATGTGGCCTGAGATTTGTTTCAATAATGCTGTTTTGTAAAAAAACGTGAGCTTTAAGTAGTCCTAGCCCAGCCCGGACCGCGCTCAAGGGCAAAGACAGGAGTGAATCCAGAGGTTTGGCTCTGCCAGGTACTGGGTCCCACCCCACGCGGGGGCCAAGGGCTCTCCATCGAGGTGACGGTGTTGGGGAGCTAAGAGGGTCCCAGGTGTACCTGTGGGTCAGCCGCCCTCTGGCCGGGCCTGGGCTCCCTGTCCCTCAGCAACAGCCTGGCCAGGGCAGGTGTGCGTTGACTCCCCAGGGGCCCCCAGGCTCCCCACTGGCTTCATGTTCACTGCTCAGCCTGGCAAAGGGGGGTGGCTGGGTCAGGATTCCTGGAAGGGCTGGTGTCCAGCTCAGTTGCAGAACTATCTCCCAGGGGAGTGGAAGGAGGAGACGCTGAGTCAGCTTACATCGTGGGGAGAGGGTGCAAGCTGGGTTTGGGGACTTAGGTCCAGCCTGCTGGCAGGTGCACTGTGGCCTCCAGGGAGCCTGGCACCCAGGACGTGTCTGTGCTGCCCCCTTGTGTCCAGTGGCCACAACTGCAGGTCTCACCACCACCACCACCACTGAGCTCACACCAGAGGTGGTGCCAGGGGAGCCCAGATCGGGTGGAATCAGAAAACACCCAGCGGGTTCAGCCCCGTGCCGGGGAAGGCAGGGCACGTCCCCAAAGGACACAGGTACAATGAGACAGGAGGACGTTTGCTTAGGGCACCATGAGCCCCGCCTCGGGCGATGCCGACACCTTCAGGCACCTCCGGGGGCAGTGCCACACACCAGGTGTTTCTGGTTGTTTCTTCCAAGAAACATCTGCTGAGAATTTGGAATGTCACGTGCTGGCCCTTTAGGAGACGAAGCCCACGGAGTCCCCCAAACGAGCCACAGGTGGGAGGACCCAGGTGAGCTGGGCTGTGCTCAGGGCCACGTGGGACCTGTGGAGGGGGACACCCCCGAAGACTGACTCTGCTCCGGGTCCCCAAGGCTACGGAGGACAGAGGACAGAGGGGAGAAGAGATTTGAGAGGAGTTTGGGGGTGAAACTGAGGGGAACTAGGACCCAAACTGGCTGAGGTGCAGAGGTGTCACAGGGCGCAGGGTGAGGCTGGGGCGGCTCTGTGGGAGCCCCCAGGGCCTGGGGCAGACCAGCCACGGGGTGTGGACGAGACGGTGAGGAGCACAAGATGCTGGGATGTGAGGCCGACATGGAGCTCTGGGGACCCCAATGATGCGGTCTCTCACCTGCCGAGCCCCTAACAAAGGTGACCCCTGCTTGGGTGGGGTGAGGCGGTGAGGAGCCTCCTGGGGGAGCACACAGCCACTCCTTGTATCTGTTCCTCCAAATGGTGTGGTGTTGACAGTGAGCTCCCGAGCACACACACAGACCCAGTGGCCGTGTCACAGTCGGCCATCGCCCAGCCTGGTCACAGCCCCATCAGTATTGGACGTTTAGGGAGGAGTAGCCCAGGGCTGGCACGTCCTTCATCTTGTTTTTTTGAACCACACATGCGTACACATGTGCGCATGCACAAACACATGCACAGTGCACATGTACACAAATGCACACACGTATATGCACACGCACACATATGCACATGCATGTATGCACACAGATGTGCATGCACACACACACGTACACACACACTCTGCACCAGTGGCAGTGAATGGAAGTGGGACTCAGGACTGAGGACCCAGGTAGGTGGGGGACCCTGGAGGGAGAAGACTCCTGGTCACAGTGGGGGAGGGGTCACTGGCAGGGGTTAGGGGGACACCCACTGGGGGGCTCCTGGCCAAGAGAGGGCTCTCTGGGCAACCCCTCTGCAGACTCACAAAAACCCACACAAAGGATGTGCAAACCCACCAAACATTGCAAATTCACAGAAATAAAGCACGCCAATAGGGACATCGGTTTTAAATATTAAAATATATTTACACACACAATTTGACCGAGGAGCCAGGAGACGCTGTGAAAGTCCGACGCCCTCAGGCAGAACTCCCAGCTCCTGCGGAGCGTGCGCTCCCCACCGCCGTCGGGGGAAATAGATTCTAGAAATAAGTGTTTATACAAAATACAGGTCCATAAATGCACTTATACCACCGGCTGCCACCCCACCGTGGGTCGTGCGGCGGGGACAGGAGGTGACAGCTGGCATGAACACGGAGCCGGCTCCCCTCCGTCAGGGTCAGGACCGGTGCAGGAAGTCCCAGCCCCAGCGCCCACGGGGGACCAGCTCGGCCCTCCCCCAGCATCCGCCTCATTCATGAGAAATGAGCACCAAAGGTCCAGCAACAGAATCGCGGAGCCGCCGGCCCCACACCTCAGCGGCTGGGGCCCCAGTCCAGCTGTCCGGCTTCTCTCCCTGGGCGTCTGAAACGGCCGGAGAAAGGGAAGCGGAGGCTTCATCCAGTGGCGGGGGGCCCAGAGGCGGGGGGCCTGCGGGCCCTGCCCCCGAGCCCCGCACGGGGTCACCGCTGCGGGCGTCAGACGTGGCTCTGGAGCTGGAGGTCTGAGTGGGCGCTCTGGAAGTCCGTGGGGTTGTCGGAGGCCGAGGACTGGCTGGGCAGGGAAGCCTCCAGGCCGTGCGGAGACCCCGACAGGGACTTGTACAGGAAGTACGCAGTGGCAAAGAAGAGGAAACCCAGTACCTGAAGAGAAAGGAGCTGCTGGGCCCTGGAGCTGCCCACCCAGGGCCCCGCCCGGCCCCCGTTCTCTCGAGGTTTTGAAGACCCCTACCCTGGCAGGGACACCCCTTTCCTGCTTAGCCAGTCCCCAGCACAAACCCGACACCGTTAGTGAAGGAAGGAAAATGCCATTTGACTAAAAGCAGAGGCACGGGATAAGGGGGTGCTGAACAGTGCTCCCCTCAAAGAGATATATCCAAGTGCAGGTCCCTGGAACCTGTGGAGGGGACCTTTATTTGGAAATAGGGTCCCAGTAGATGTAACTAAGGAGCTTGAAATGAGAGCATATTGGCTGGGCCCCCCACTCCCATGGCTGGTGTCCTCAGAAGAGAAGAGACAGGTTTGATCTTGGATTCTGGCCCCTGGAACTGACTATAAATTCCAGTTGCTCTAAGCTTCCCGGTTTGAGGGCCTTTGTTTCGGTGGCTCCAGGAACCTAACGGGGAGCTGGTCAGCACCAGCACCCCCACCTCACAGGACTTACAGGCGGCCTTGAACACGGGAGGGGGCACCCAGGCCAGCCTCTGTATACACCTGCGTGCTGGTTTAGTAGAAACGCCCGCTGTGCTTCCTGGGGCATCCCGGGGCTGCCAGGCCCGAAGCCACTCTCTGGCAAAGTGATTGAACAGGGTGGTATGTAGGGCACACCCGTGCGCTCCCCCTGCTACAATGAGCACCCGTTTATAAGCCGTTCCTAACCACGGTGGTCCGGGCTGGCCCTGCAGAGCTCACAGTGTTGTTACCCGGGCAGCAGATGTCCCGGGGACCAGCGTGCTCCCTGGGGCTATTCACCAGGGTCCCACAAATCCCTGGTCACACTTGGCTACTTTTATGCTAATCCACGGGGAGACAGACCAGGGTCACGAGACTCCTCTGTCTTTGGGCTCCTTCAGGAATAGCCTCCCTCCAGTGAAGACAGTCGTGCCGACTGGCCCCAGGATTTCATCTTATTTGGAAGGTCCTGTGGCTTCTCCAATGGGGGGACAGTCTAAGCTCCAGGCCTGTGCTGCTCCTGGGAGCACAGACCAAGAGGTTTCTGTACCAGCCCGGAGCCGAGGGGCAGGCTGAGAGCTATGAAGGCACATTCACGTCGTGCTGCTCGGAAACCCATCACGCTGACAACTGCCCCAACGTGCCCAAGCTGCTGAGTTCTGTTCCTTCAAAGCTTGCCCGGCCGGTGTGGCTCAGTGGCTGAGCGTCGACCCCTGCCCCAAGAGGTCACCCGGTCAGGGCACATGCCCAGGTTGTGGGCCTGATCCCCAATGGGGGGCATGCAGGAGGCGGCCAGTCGATGTTCTCTCGCATCCATGTTTCTATCTCTCTCTCTAAACTTAATATAGAAAAAATTTAAAACCCTCAGCTGCCCAGAGCCACAGGGCACACCACCAGGCTTCGATGGCAGAGGGCCCAAAGGCAGGGAAGGGACTGCTCCGAACACCCAGGGCATGGAGCTGGGGGGCCTGGGCCTGCTCTCCCAGTACACCCCACCGGGGGGGTTTCAGGGACAGCTCTGAACAGGGGAGGACACGCCCCTGGGTTTGAGGTTCTGTGGAGGGCCCAGACCCCTCCCTCCTGGAAGAGCCCAGCGCCCACAGACGCAGCCCGCTCACCTTGTACCCCAGCCCGGCGATGAGCATGTAGCGGCTCATGGCCACATTCTGGTACAGGAGGCAGGAGCCCTGCTGGCCACACTGGTCCTGCCACAGCAGGCACGCCTTGTCGATCAGCCAGCCGAAGGCGATGGGCCCGGGGATGCCCCCTGGGGAGAGAGCCCACTCAGAACCCCACATGCCCAGGGTCTCAGCAGGGGATGTTCCCGGGGGGTGTCAAGGGGGCCTAAGTGTTCCCTCTCTGGGGACTTGTCTTCAGGACACTCCGCATGACCTCCGAGCCCGACAGAGCCTTTGTGCCAGTGAGGAAAAGGCACCCTCTGGGCACAAAACGAGCTCGGGTCCCTCTAGTGGACTGTTGGGGAATGGACTCCGCCCCCAGGTGGGCGTGGCCTGCAGCCGGGACGCACAGGGGCCGGGCGAGCAGACACCTGCCCAGCTGTGCGGGGCTCCCTCCCGCTCCCCAGGAGACACCTGCCCAGCTGTGCGGGGCTCCCTCCCGCTCCCCAGGAGACACCTGCCCAGCTGTGCGGGGGTTCCCTCCCGCTCCCCAGTACCTAGCGTCCTAACCACGATCCACTGGATTCCCAGCGCGAAGGACCTCTGCTGGTCACAGACGCACCTGCAAAGGCGAAGCACGGCGTCAAGGCCGGGGAAGCGGGGCCGCCGCCAAGTCACACCCCCAGCCTGAGGCCGCGTCCTGGCCGAGCTCCCGGCGGCGTCACCACCTCCCCGGGTGGCCAGCACCTGACGGAGGCGCAGTTGGTTCTCGCCACTGCTTGGGGGCCGGGAGGGACCCCGCGGGCCCTGCAGAGCTCCGCCGGGCGCGCTGCCGGGAAGGCTCCGGGAGGAGCGGAGCCAGGCCCCTGCTTACCGTAGCGTAGCCGTGAGCGCGGGGATGCTGCTGAGGAATGTAAAGGTAATTACAACGAATATGAGAACCAGAAGGAGGGGCTTGCTCTGACAAGTTGAGGCGCATTTCCCTGCAGTAGCATGGCCAAAACCAGAGGAAAAATTCTGAAGGACACACCTACAGTCTCGGTACACCTAGGAGCGCAACAACAGCGCCGATTACCGCGCGCAGGGGCGGCCTCCGGGGGGCGCGCGCGGGGCGGGGCGGCGCTCACCTTCGGGGCGCCGGGCGCGGCCGCCTGCGGGCACCCCGCGTGGCACGGCGAGAAGTACACGAGGCCGTCGGAGCCGCACACCGGGGCGTACTGCTCCGGCCCGCAGCTGCACGCCGCGTTGCAGGCGGAGAGCAGCTCCCGGCGGCCGGCGGGCAGGGCGCTGCCGTTGTAGTGGGCGGTCACTCCCGCCATGGGCACGCTGGGGCAGTGCGTGAAGAAGACCAAGGTGGCCAGCAAGCTGGCCAGGGAGCAGATCAGGCAGAACTTGATGATGCTCGAGCCGCGGAGCTTCAGCTTGTTCATGAAGAAGCCGCCCAGGAACGTGCCGCCCCCGCCGGCGGGCACCACCAGGTACCCTGGGAAGAGGGCGGGGCTCAGCCGGCGCCTGGGATGTCCTGGGAGCCCGGGGTGGGCCCTGACCCCGCTACGTCTTATGCTCCCCACTTTATAGATGGGGGGACAGGTGCAGGCCACCCCTGACCGGCTGGCAGTGCTGGGCTTGGGGTGTTCCGGGGCCGCTCTGTCGCTGCCCTGACACTGGGGAGGGGCAGACGTCCAGGGTGCCCGCCCCGCCAGGCCCCCGCCAGGCCAGCAGGGGCTGTGTGAAGCCTGCAGTGTGCCCATTCGCGTGAAGTTGGGATTGGTTGGTATGAGCTCCCAGGATGGGAGGGGGGCCCTAGGGGCAGTGGGCAACCCAAAAGCCCCGGGGGGCTCGGTGGGCCATCTCCCCAGCACCAATCAAACCAGCTTTGCGGGTGGTAGAGGGGGGACCCCAGAGGATGACAGTTCCAGGAGGGGACATCAGGGCAGGGAGAGGGGGCCCCTGTGGGGAAGGGAGGCAGTTGTGGGTGGGGGTCTGGGTATGTGGAGTCAGCTGAGGCCAGGAAAGGAAGGGAGTCTGGGGGCACTAGTCAGAGGGAGGGGTGGGACCCCTGATCTGATGGCCCCTCTCTACCGGGAATGGAGCCCTGAGGGGTGGGCGTGGCTGGCCTGTCCTGGGTGCTGCTCAGACTCTCCCCTCCTTGTACACACAACACTGACCTCATGCCCAGGGGTGTCCTCAGGGAGCTGGGGCTGCCCCATGAGCAGTGGGGGGGGGGGTCTGAGGAGGAGCCGCACTCTCCTGGGGGGACCAAGCTGAGTACCTGCCGCTGGGCAGGTCCAGGAGCTCCAGCCTCATGGGACCGGGGAACAGCCCTGGGTGGCAAGCAGGAGATACAGGCAAGGGGGAGCCACCCCGCCCTCCCAGCTGGAGTAGGCTCCCACTAGGGGGCAGCACAGCACCAGGGCCCTCAGAGAGACCTGTCAGCACATCCCCTGTGTTGAGGTCTGCGGCCCAAACCCCTCAGGGAGGAGGAGGAGGGTAAATACCGTTGGACCGTGAGCGACATCACCCATTGGCAAGCCCCAGACACCAGCTCTCTGCTACCCTGCCGGGGCTGGGGCCCACGGGGGGCTACGCCGTCTGGGCTTTCTGGAACATACTGTCAAAGACCTCTTGCTCATCTAAGAACTACGGAAAAGCGAGGATCCCCAAGATTCGGGGACTTTTCTCACCAAACAAGGTGGCAGCTTCGGAAGCGCTCAGGCTGAACTGAGACTCGAGGAACTTGGGGCCGAACGTAGACATGCCCGTGATGAGCGTGGCCTCGGTGGCCCCGGCCAGGCAGAGCAGGGCGAACACGGGGTTCTTCAGGAGCAGCCAGATGGAGCTGGGGGGCGGGGGCAGAGAGGAGACGGAGGGTCAGAGGGCCAGAGCCGGGGTGTGAAGAAGCCATGTTCCTGAGGTGGGGCCCTTCCCCCCTGCCTGCACTGAGCCCGGTTCTGTGAGGGACGGGGTGGGCTGCCAGTGAGCTGGGAGGCACCCACATTTATTCCAGAGAAGCTAAGAGGGCGTGTGCGGCGGGGCCGTGGCGGGGAGTGAACTGGGGCCAGGATTCTGAGCTCCAGCTGGTTGTAAACGCAGCCGCCGCGGATCACGAAGAACCTTACCGCCACCTTGGCAGAGTTCAGGCTGTGTGCAGAGACCTCCCTCGACCTGTATCACTGTTCAGTCCCCTCTGGGGGCCGAGGTCAGCGAGTTCCAGAGTGGGCGGGTCCCCAGCACAGGGGGATGGGCCTGAGGGGGCCCTTCTCAACCAGCAGCCGAGGGAGGGGGACAGGAAGCCCTGCAGATGTGGCCGGATGGGCCCTTCCCAGGAGCCGGGGGTGGGCTTGGCTGGCTCCCAGCTTCACTTGGTGAGCACTTTGGGGGTGAAGACAGGGGCCCGAAGGAGGGTGTTGGCGTTGGTCCCATCGGACCTGGCCTGCTGATTCCCTGGTGGACCTGCCGGACCCCCTGCTGAGGACGGAGAGGACTCAGAGCCCCACGGCCTGGGGGCACTCAGCTTCAGGTCTGGCTGTGGGGTGGAGGGAGAGGCTGTGGCCGGTGATGTGATGGGTTTCAGGAGCAGCAGTGTAGGCCACGAGCCTGGAGGTGCCAGTGTCCCGTGTCTCAGCATGTCGGGGCTCAGCCAGTCTGCTCGAGGTGTGAGCGCAAGGGCTCCTGGGGGCAGGCCCTGGGGGAGTGTGGGCCTCACTGCTCAGAGCTGGAGCAGGGGGTGCCCCAGGGTGCTGTGCAACCCTGCCCGCGCTCAGACTGTTCGGATGTCCAGAGTGCCCGGCTGGAGCGGCTCCGGTTAGGAGCTCCCTCCTGGGCACCGGAGGGTGGCGGTTCGATTCCAGTCAGGGCACACACCTGAGTTGTGGGTTTGATTCCCAAATGGAGAGTGTACGGAAGGCCACAGTTTTTGTTTCTCTCTGACATCAGTGTTTCTCTCTCTAAGCTGCCCTCAGGTGAGGATTTTTTAAAAAGCCGTGAGAGGCAGAGCTCAGGAGGGACACACAGACGTTACAACCCCTGGGAGGTCTGGAAATAACGAGGCTCGGCCCTGCGGGCAGCCAGCGGCCCCCGTCACCGCCCCGGCCCCTCAGCCACAGCGGCAGGCGTCGGGGCCCAGCGCAGAGGTGTTGGCTGGTGGGTATGTCCCTGTGCCCAGCGTGAGGGGCATGGGTGGGGTTGGCACAGCCTCACTCTCGCACCCTGACAACCCTGTGATAAGTGACCACTGTGAGGCTGCGGCGGCTCTGAAAGGGCCGGAGACGCTGTGCCCGCCTCATGGGCCTCCTGCCTGAGCGCCCCAGACCCCACGGTCACCCCCACACCAGCACGCGTCAAAGCAGCTGGGACATTGTGACTCTCACAAGTGGGATTCTGAGGGGCAGGACCGTGCAGGGCACCAACTATGAGCCTTGGCACCCCAACCTTGGAGCAGGGAGCTGGGAGCGACTGACGAGGGACACCCCCATCACCTATTCGGACACAGCGACTCGCCCCACTTAGCTCGGAGCCACCCTCACGGGCCTTGTTCCGTGGGGCCCAGTTCCTGCCACGCTGGCTCTGACCTGCTGGAAGGGTCCGGACACAATGCCACGGGCGTGGGTGTGGCCGGTGGGGCCCAGCACCCTCTCCCCTGGGTACAGGTCTGGGTCCTGTGTGTTCACTGGGAGGGACGCCAGGGTGTGGACACCCACCTTGCCCACACCTGCCCGGTTCGGGGCCGTCCTCAGCTCTCCCCACGCAGGGGCTCACCTGCAAGTCTTGTGTTGAACTTGCTCAGGGCACTAGTCATGACCTGACAGGGTGCACAGGCTCCAGGATTCTCTGTACTGCGGAGCCTGGGCATGTACACCCTGACGTCCACCCACCAGCCCCGCGGCCACTGGGCACCAGACTATTGGGTTCTGTGCCCAGCCCTGCCCCAGCTCAGAGAGGGTGGCTCTGGGCCAGCTCCCCCGTGTGGGGCACCCTCCTGAGTGGGTGGCTCTTTGGGTGTTCTAACAGGAAGTGGGGAGGGAAGAACGGAGCCCTAAGTGGGGGTGGAGACTGACCACCCCTGGAGGTGGCCCTTGGCCCTGACGCCCATGCTGAAGACAGGCATAGGCTCACCCCCACTGCCAACAGCCCCTGCACCCCTGTGCCTGCTCAGAGGCTGCCAACGGGCTCAGGATGCTTCAGGGGTGGTGGGTGCTCACGAGGCCGAGGACTCGAGCCGGGAGAGACCCCCACAGAAGGCTGTCCTGTGAAGAGGGGCACTGGGCAGCCAGGAGCCCCCAAGCCCCACGTCCCACTGAGACCTCAGCAGCCAGGGCTGTTTGTGAATGAGGACGACAGGGCAAGACCACGTCCCCCACAAGGAGAGAGGGGAGACGGTGGACAGGTGCATGCGTGGCTGGGAGGAGGGGCGGGCAGGCAGCAAGGGCCGAGGTCCAGGCACAGTTCCAGAGACCCCGGGGCAGGAGGGCGGCACCGACCTGGAGCCCCGTGGGCAGTGGGCAGGGGACACCTACAGAAATGGTTGGAGGATGAGGGCCGAGGCCGCTGAGGGCAACCCCTGGGCAAAGGTCTGCGGGTCAGTCACGCTCACTGTGGCCCCGGAGGGTCACTCGGAAGCTCCTAGTCTGGGGCCAAGACTCAGTGAGTGGGAGTCCCCCAGAGGGTCCTGAAGACGCATGACATGGGCGAGAGGTGCTCGCGGGTGACCCCCCAGTTCCTTACAGAGGCAGGTCTCTGATGGTTCTCCCGAAGCTGGGGCTGCTGGGCGCTGCGCAGCGACTGTCCTTCAGCTGGTGCGTCTCAGAGGCCCTCATGGCCACGTAGCGCTGGGAGCCTGGAAGCACAAGCCGTCAGCGAGAGGCGGGCCAAAGGCGGGACAGAGGGGGACAGAGGGGACCATGGCCACAGGAGCTGGGACAGAGCCAGCAGCACAGCCTGGGGCCAGAGGGGAGAGAAGGGGTGCCCCCCCATGAAACGCCTCCTCCGTGGCCGCGGGGAGGGGATGCACAGCTGGCCCGCCCCGCCCTGCAGGAAGGAAGCCCCACCAGAAGGAACATCTGGACTCGCCTGTGCTCCTCAGAGGCCCACATGACCCAGAGGGGCGTGCACCCGGGGGCACCCACCTGGCAGCTGCCGCGGGTAGCCGAGGATGGGGACCGCGATGAGGAAGGCAGCGGCCCCCGTGCCCAGGAAGCCCACCCACCAGGCGCCGACCCACAGCGGGCTCTCGGTGGTCAGCTGGGTCCTGTGGGAAGAAGCGGCGGCGTCAGCCTCCAGGCACGTGAGCTGGGCACCCCTGGGCTGGCGGGTCCACGCAGGCCAGGGGAGGGTGTAGAGCGTGAGGGGCGTGGCCCCACCTACCTCCTGCACCGCACACAGCGTGCACATTTGACACCCAGCCTAGTCCACCCGAGGCACAGGTGGCGTCTGTGCCTGGGCAGAGCACTAGAAACCCGACGAGAGGCGCCATCTGCAGAGAGAGTCCAAGGGGTAGCGGCGTGCCCGCCATGCGTCTCAGAATGCGTTAGGAAGACCACCCAGATGGGTGATGGCCCCGGAGGACAGGCCACCGCTAGAGCCCACTTCCTCCCCCACCTCTGTCTCTGTGTCTTTGTCTCTCTGTGTTTATCTCTGTCTCTGTGTCTGTCTCTCTCTGTCTCGATCTCTCTCTGTCTCTGTGTCTCTTTCTCTGGTTTTTTTTTTTTTTTTTATCCTCACCCGAGGAAATTTTTCCATTTTTTGTACAGATAGAGTGGGAGGAAGAGAGAGAGAGAGAAACATCGACGTGAAAGGGACACATCGAGTGGTTGCCACCTGCACAACCAACCAGGGCCGGGGACAAACTGCAACCGAGGTACGTGCCCTTAGCGGGAACCGAACCCAGGTCTCCTGGACCGCAGGCCGACGACCGCAGGCTGAGCCAAGCCAGCCAGGGCCCTCTCTCTGTCTCTGTGTGTGTGTCTCTCTCTGTCTCTGTGTCTCTGTCTCTGTCTCTCTGTCTCTCTGTCTCTGTGTCCCTGTCTCTCTGTGTCTGTCTCTCTGTCTCTCTCTGTCTGTGTCTCTGTGTCTCTGTGTCTCTGTCTCTCTCTCTGTCTCTCTGTCTCTGTGTCCCTGTCTCTCTGTGTCTGTGTCTCTGTCTCTCTCTGTCTGTGTCTCTGTCTCTCTGTCTCTGTCTCTCTGTCTCTCTGTCTCTGTGTCCCTGTCTCTCTGTGTCTGTGTCTCTGTCTCTCTCTGTCTGTGTCTCTGTCTCTCTGTCTCTGTCTCTCTGTCTCTCTGTCTCTGTGTCCCTGTCTCTCTCTGTCTGTGTCTCTGTCTCTCTCTGTGTCTGTGTCTCTGTCTCTCTCTCCTGCTCAACCCGACAAAAGCAGTGTTGCAAACAGCAGACAAGGAACGAAAGGACACGCGATGACCTAGCCAGAGCCTTGGTCCCTGACACGAGCTCCTTAGTTCTCTGCCACCTCCTGGGGGACAGCAGTGCCCTTTGTGCAAATGTGGCCCCTCTTGGTGGGCCCTCTAGCGCAGCTCTTCTCAACCTGTGGGTCACGACCCCTTTGGGGGTCAAATGACCCTTTCGCAGGGGTCGCCTAAGACATACCAGTTCAAAATTACAGGTATGAAGTAGCAACAAAAATAATTTCATGGTTGGGGTCACCACAACGTGAGGAGCTGTGTTAAAGGGTCGCGGCATCAGGAAGGTTGAGAACCACTGCTCTAGAGTTTCAGAGGGGACTGGTCCCCCGAAACACCAGCCATGAGGTTAGGGAGTGGGGACTCTCAGCCCCACGCCCGACCTCCAGGGAGGCTGTTGACCGCCGATGGCCAGTGAGTTCACCAAGCAGACCTACAAAGTAGTCCATGACTACCCTGACGGCAGGGCAGCCGAGTTCCCGGGTGGTGGACGTGCAGGAGCTGGGAGGTTGGCACCCAGAGAGGGCACGGAGCGCCCCCTGCCCACACTGCACCCCATGTCCTCTACCAACGGCCTGTTTCTGAGCTGCCTCCTCCGGCAGGCAGTGGGCCCTCCTGTGGTCTGTGGGCCCCACGAGCAAATTACTGGGCTGAGGAGCGGGTGGTGGGATCCTCTGTGTTGTGCCCAAGTCAAACAGAACTGTGGGTGACCTGGAGTCTTTACTGGGGGTGGTCTCGTGGGACTGAGCCTTGAACTTGTGGGGTCCGCACTGATGCTGGGGAGTCTGTGTGAGAATGCAGTGAGGTGCCCCGCTGGTGTCTGGGGAGGTGCTTGTTGGGAAGAGCCCCCAGAAAAGAACCCCACACCGGCGCAGGAAAACCCACCCTCGGCTCTGCCAAGGGACCCAGGGAAACTGGGGCCTGGTCTCACGTCGTTCCGGGAAGCCCTCGGCCACGGTGCCCCCCAGGGCTGCTCTCAGAGCCGCCAGACCAGCAGGCCCGTCAGCGCAAGGCCCGAGCTGGGCCGCAGCCCTCGGCCGCACCCGCTGCACCTCCCAGCCCCCCAGGCGCGGGTCCTGCGCGGCCAGATCCCGGTTTCCCCGGCAGCAGCGCCCAGCTTACTCACCGTTGGCCGATCTCCGTGTAAATGTTCAGCAGGGCGCCTCCGATCAGGTAGCCGGCTGCGGGGCCCAGGATGGCCGCCGTGTAGAAGATGCCTGCCAGGGAGCAGAGCCGTTGGGCGGCTGCCACCCCCGCACCCCTCCAGGCTCACAAGCGAGTGACATTCAGAAGCCACGGGGGGCACCGGAGAAGCGCCCCCCCCAGCACTTCTGTGCCCGGCTGCCCTCCGCCCAGGGATGGACCCTTGAATTCAGGCTTTTCATTTCTGCACTGCGTCTGAAGTCGAGCTGCGGCCAACTTTCTAAGGGGATTTTTAAAAATGTTTCTCAAGGCCCAGCCAGTGTGGCTCAGTGGTTGAGCATCGACCCTGCACCAAGAGGTCACCGGTTCGATTCCCGGTCAGGGCACATGCCCAGGTTGTGGGCCCGATCCTTAGTGAGGGGCATGCAGGAGGCCGCCAATCAGTGTTCTCTCTCATCAATGTTTCTCTCCCTCTCCCTCTCCCTTTCTCTCTCTAAATTCAATAAAGGAAAAAAATTTTTTTTACTCTCTCCTCCGCCAGGAGCCCCCGGGGCCAACAGGGACGCACAGAACGCACAGAAAGGGTGAGGCTCCGAGCAGGTGCCCGTCACGCTGCCCCCACCCCGCCTCACTCACCAATGTAGACAGGCGAGTAGCTGGACTTGACGTTCTCGTCCAGGTAGGTGACCCCCAGCGTGTACAGCGGCGTGGCGCCCACACCGTGCAGGAACTGGCCCAGCATGAAGACCAGCTGGTAGCCGGACAGGCTCGAGGCGCTGTCCCCGCACGCCAGGCTGCGGTTGGCCCGGCACGTCCCCAGGCCCTCGTCCACCTGCACCTCGTAGGGGCCCGTGGTGAAGTGGGGCAGCGCGAACACCAGCGAGCCGGCCCCCATGACCAGCACGCCCCAGCCCAGCCAGCGGGGCTTGTGTCCGGTGCCCCCGAAGTAGCTGACGAAGGCGAGGCAGAGGCAGGCGGCCAGGTCGTAGGCGCTGGCGATGAGGCCGCTTTGGGAGCTGCGCAGGTCGAAGCGCCGCTCGATGGAGGTGATGACGGTGTTGATGAAGCCGTTGACGGTCATGCCCTGCAGGAAGGAGGCCGCGCACAGGAACACCAGGAAGCCCCGCGGCGTGTTGAAGGCCTGCAGGCACTCGGGGGCAAAGGCCCGCCAGCCGCACTCCGAGCTCCGCGGCCCCGCTGGCGAGAACTGCCGCGCCTGGGCCCCCCGGGCGCCGTGCTTCCGGGCCTTCGCCTCGCACAGCGGCTGGCTGCTGGCATCCAGGGGGCCGTGGGAGGCGGGGTGCAGGGTGGCCAGGCTCCGGGGTGAGCCCAGGGACGCCCGCCTGCTGGGGGGGGTGTGGCCACACCCGTCGTCCTGGGCCGAGGGGGCGCCGGGGAAGAACAGCTGCGGCATGGAGACGAAGGGTTTGTCCCCCATCGCGTGCTGGGGCATCTCCCTCTGGGGGTGACAGAGGCCGTGTTCCAGAGGCAGCTTGTTCTGTGGGAAGAATTTCTGGTGAGCAAATGGAGATGCACCCACAAACGCACTGACTTCTCCAGGAGGACACCCCGCATGCCCCATCCCCTGGGGTGCTGACGGCTCTACCTGCCTAGTTGGTACCCTGTCTGGTGGGGTGACCCTCCCAGACCAGCCCCCTCTCCGAATCCAGGGCCCCCCTGGAGCCACACACTCAGGGCAGCTGTCTCAACCCCAGTGGGCTGCCCTGGAGGTGGGCACGTGCCCGGCCTGGTCGTAGGACAGCACCCTCCAGAGAGAGGCCTCAGAGCAGAGCTGGGACGCAGCAGGGCCAAGGTGGGTGCCCCAGGACCCCCGGAGCACCTGACCGCACTTCCTGGCTGCTGCTGGCTGAGACGCGCACACACTCACACACACTCACACACACACGTGCGCACACACACATACACGCACACACTCACACACGCACGCACACGCGCGCACACACACATACACGCACACACACACACACTCATACTCACACACACACTCAGGCCTCGCTCCTCCTCAGACACCTGCTGGCTCCGAACCAGAAGTGCGTCTTAGTCCAGAGTTCAAGGGGTGTGGGAAGTGAGGGAGGGGAGCCGGCAGGGCATGGACCCCGGACCCCTGGGAGTCCTCACAGACAAACCAGGAACGCCCCAGGGTGACGGGAGCGGGAAGCGGGTGGGACCTCACCCAGGTCTGGGATGCAGTCTTGCACTTGGGGGATGGGCAGCGCCAGCCTCCCGTGGGCCCTCCTGCCGCCACCTCCCAGAGGCAGAGGGCAGTGGGCGAGTGGTCACCACCCTGCTGCCCTGCACGGCGGGGGTCAGCAGTGTGCCTAGAGCCCTCCCTGCACCACGGCTGTCCTCGCAGGCTACTGAAAGGGCCTGGCCCGCTGAGGGGCTCTGCCCGGCCCGGCTGTTTACTTTGGAAACAGCTCGGCCAGGCTGTCAGCGGCTGTCGCCCAAGGCTGTGAGCACAGGGCAAACCTTCCGCCCAGTCATCCCTGGGGCTGTTCCCGGCTGTTGTTTTATTTATAGGCCCCCGCCCCTGCACGCGGCCAGCACACGCCAGGCTCCTTCCCCAGAGGGCAGAAGGAGCAGGTCTAAGGGGCAGCGGGGCCTCCAGCAGGGCGTAGGGGCGCACCTCACACCGCTGCCCAGGCAGGCGCCGCTCGGGTGCCGCCCCCCACGCATGCTGGCAGCCAGCTCGGGGTGCAGGGGGGCCGCGGGGAGAGCGCCGGCTCCAGCCCTTGGACCGGGCGGCCTGACGCCCACCCCACAACTGAAACAGAGAAACATGGAAAAGCAAGACGCTGCCTGAAATCCCAAGGCCTGGAAGCCACCTGTGTCTTTCTGGACCAGCCAACGCGGGCAGTTGTGCACAAAACCGCAGGGCGCGGGGCCTCCCCTTAGGCTGCCCAGTGACCTGTCCTGGGGGAGGGTCAGTACTGCACCCCAGGAATTATTCGTGGGTGCTTATTTCCAGTAAGTGATCTGCAAACCGAGGACCAAGGTCCGGTGGCCCTCCAACGCCTGCCCACAGCTGCTCTGCACACTGGCCCGGCGGCTCTGGCTCGGCTCGCTCGGGCAGTGGGCGCAGCAGGCCGTCGGCTGGGTGCACGGGTCAGATGCCCACAAAGAAGCGGAGAACTTCCCGTTTGGAACCACGAGGGGTGGATGGTCCCAACAGCTCCAAGTCCGTGGCAGTGTCACGTGAACTAAAATCTACCGATCTCTGACTTAAACAGATCACATGCATGTCGTCGGCACGCTGAGAACCTTTCAGAGGTTTGCCAGGCGCCCACTGGTGGCCCGGCAGGCACAGGATAGGAACTGAACGCCCTGTTTGCATCCATCAGCCCCGGAGGCCTCCTCCTGGCCCTCAGGACCCCGTTCCAATCACGCTGAGACCCACGCAGCCGAGCGCGGAGGATGCTCTCACCTCATCTGCGACCCCCTGGATCCAGCCAGCCTCCCATCGGGGACACTGGAGGCTGGCCGTTCCCTGGCCTGGAGAAGCCCATATGAAGTCCCCCCCGAGTGAGGGAGAGAGCAGTCCTCCTCCAGCTGCAGGGTGGTCCCTGGCCGGGTGGGAAGCAGAAGTCTCCCAGGCAAGGACAGTGAGTGGGAGGGAGCCTGGGGCCTCGGTGCAGGGGAGGGTGTGTTAGTGTGTGTGTGTGTGTGTGTGTGTGTGTGCTCACTCAGGAGTGCTGTCAGGGTGAGACTGGCCACGGCCCATCAGCTCACCCCAGGTGTTTGCGCCACCTGCTGTGAAGAAAGGTCATTCCCAGCACTGCAAGAAGCCGGTGGCCCCTGGCCCGCGGCCCTGAGGATCTCCACTGCCCAGTCTGTGCGAACTGGGACCAGCTTCCAGAAAGGCCTGAGCCGTGTGGACACGCCCACCTACTGGTTGCTCCTCTTTCCTGGGACCCGAACACAGGTCCCGCCGAGCGCGCTCACTTCGTTTCCCGTCGGAAGCTCTCGCCCAGCAGGACTGCTCAGAGAATTGAGCCTGGGTGCTGGCCTCTGGGCCCTGGGCCCCAGGGACCAGGCCTGGACTAAGGATTCCTCTCAGGCTCCACCCTGAGCCCTTCGGGGACCTTGGCTGCCGGGGGGGAATCACACGTTTCATTTCTTCTTTCTCTTTCTGTGCCCACCAGTCAATTCCCTCGTGGCCGCATCTGATGGTGCTGAGGCTGCCGGCCACAATGCCTGGCACTGTGACATGGGCCACTCCAACACGGCACCCTGCCTGAGCCCCCGCACGCGGCTCCCCTGGCCACCCCTCACTCCCCGGAACCCTCGGGCCTGGCCCCAAGACCCCTGGGACTCCCCAGGCCTGGACCTGTCCTGGTGTCCCTTCTGGGGCGGAGCTTTTCACTTCTTGGTGATGAGGTCAAAGCTATTTATAGTGCAGACACCCAGATGGCAGGATCGGGGTGGCCACAGCAGTGTTGGCGACCCTACTTTCCATACTGGGCGAGCACGGAAGCTGCTTTGCCTGGAGCCCAACAATGAAGGATTGTCTGGGAGTGAGAGGGAGCGCCCTGCAGTCTCCGCACAGATGGTCCTGTCCCCACCCCTGTCTCCAGTGAGTGCCCCACTGTGCAGAGGGTGTGGTGAGCCCCACTGTGCAGAGGGTGTGCTGAGCCCCACTGTGCAGAGGGTGTGCTGAGCCCCACTGTGCAGAGGGTGTGCTGAGCCAGAGGCCGTGCTGAGGGAACCTACTCCTCTTTCCAACTCCTCATGTTTGATCCCCCCCCCAAATGAGCCAGCCAGGTGCCATCTAGGGTCAGGCCTCTCTGAGCTGGTTTCCCCACTGAAACAAGGGTGTGACATCATGGGGAGGAGCCCCCAGTGGGAGACCCAGACTCGTCACTCACAGTGGGTCCAGGCACCACTGGAGGCTCACGAGAAACACAGACTTCTGGGAGGGTCTCCATGGGGTTCGGGGAGCTGGCTCTGTGCACGTGGTAGGCCAGCCCGAGCACAGGCTGGGCTCGGCCATTTCTAGGCGGCCCTTAGGCCCATGGGTGCAAACACCAGGCCGTGGTGCCAGCTGAGAGGTGGACACCCACAAAAGGCAAGGGCCCCAAGCCAGCCCAGGTGGGATGGGAAGCCGCCCTCGGCCCAGCACACCCCAAGCCCTCTGTGGCTCAGGCCATGGGCGATGCCTCAGGGAACCCCAAGGTTTGCCACATAAAAAATCACTGAGAAGAGGCAGCCCCCACGGGCGGGCGAGGTGCTCACAGGAGGCAGCTCACAGCGGGAAGAGCACGTGTGTGAGCCCCCCGGGGGGTCTGTGACTGACACCAGGGGGAGCCAGGTGGGCCCTGGCCCCCACGCCTGCTGTGTGCCCGGTCCTGGTGGACCTTGCTGTGAGCGGCTTTCGCACAAGACACATGGTTTGTGATGTCATCCACCTGTCCCCAGAAATGTGGTCCGAGAGGCTCATTCTGTATGATGCCCCATGGCCCCTGAGGGGGGACGAGGGGTGTCTGGAGACAGCAGGCTGAGGGCCTAGCCAGGGCCAGCCCCTGAGGGGACACAGCTGGGGTCCGCGTTCAGGCAGGCTGGTTTCCCCCAGCAGGGCCCTGTCACCTGAGGTTGAGCGGATGCCCCCGTTCCCGGTGAAATTCCAGCGGCCTGTCCGATCACCGACCCCATAGCCGGCCTCACACCCACCACGGCCACACCGGTCCAGGCAAGCAACCGAATGTCCCCGAACAGAAGCAGCCTTGAGGTTCTGAGGGCTATTGTGCGCCCCCTTCCGAAAGCAGACACTGGACTCCAGCCACACCGGAGCACAGGACCCCATGTGACTCAAGAGGGGCCATTTTTGTGTCCGTGTCCACACCCCAGCCAGACGACACAGTGGAGGAGGCAGGTGGGGGCCAGGCAGGTCCACCAGGTCTTCCCCTGGGCCGGCTGCCCCGGGCCAGCTCCCTCCTGTCCACCAGCATAAGGCTCATGTCTGGCTCCCTGTCCATCACCCACAGCACCCACAGCACCCACAGCACCCACAGCACCCACAGGGAAGCATGAGTAGTGACCCACAGTAGCAGCCACTACCCCAGCGCGTGAGTCCCTGAGGCCACGAGCCTGTACCGCTCAGCGTGCTGCCCTGGGGAGTGGATTACCCAACGCTCACGGAGACTCCTGGGCTCCTGGAGACGACGCTGAGCCCAGGGAGCTAAGATTTCACACGAGCCTTGCTGTTCGGAAGTCAGGTGGAGGCCGAGAACCCACACTGCCCCATGGGTCTGTTACGGCAAGGGTTCATCAAGGTCGAGGAGAGCCAGGCTTCTGAGCTAGTGTCCCTCAGAATCAGGGGCTCTGATAGGGACAGGTCAGCCCCAAGTTCCCCACTCACTCGGCCATCACACTGTCCGGCGGCAGGCACCCGGCCACCGCATTGTGGCAATAGGGTGGGACGTGGTTGGGAGCCCC